ACCTTGGTCCGAGACAGGGGTACAAACAAGTTCTCGGTGTCTGATATCATTGATAAGATGGCCAGGCGGATTATGTATACGGCCAAATGCCTAAGACAATTGCGGCTGTCACTCCAACAGACCCGGTCGTCATTTGTCTTGGCCATTATATCAGCTTTTAATTGGCCGCGAATTCTTTGTCGCTCTCGTGAATTTCTCACGTATTGTGTGATGACCAAAAGCGCAGCACAGAAGCGGATTGAAGGTGTAGGAAGTTTGGGCGACGATATAAGTTAACATTTGATAAGAAAAAATATTTCAAAATATATTAAACTAATTATTTTGATTTTTAGCAAAGTATTTATATTTTTCTTGAACAAAAAATGAATATCTAGGAAGGTAGCTTAATTCTTCTTATTGCCAGTATTTTTTGTAACAATTCTAGTTTATATTTTAAGTGATTTTAAGTAATAATTTACTTTTAAAGTAGACCTTTGAACAACTTTTCTGGCCACAAAATGCTAAATTTCATTTATTTATATTATTATGTTTTTTAGGCATTTCAGCTTAAGTTTATTTCCCCTTCGCTTACCAACAATCCGTCCCTGTTTTTGCCAAAAAAATCACCTCATAGGCCTGTTCTTCTTTTGATTAATAACTTGACTAATAATTTGACTAATGCATTTTTAATGAAACTCCCCTCCAATATGACATCATTCAAAAATGGGTTCGTCTAGAGAAGTTGGCAAAGTTGGCCAGAAACTCAAGCTGAAATAATTGCAGGCAAGCGATGCCTTAAGGGGGGATATACATGTAAACCAAAATTTGTTGGGCAAATTTTTTTTTGGTTTAAAAAATAGTTTATTATTTAAAGAATATAGTGTGTAAGTTTCATTATCGAATTCCAACTCTAAGTGCCTCAAATCAAGTATGCACGCAAGGTTCACAAGTGTTAACGTGGGCGCATCAAAAACTTTAAACGTCTTTTTCTCAGCTTCTAATTTTTGCATTTCTACCTATGCTCTGGACACGATTCACAAAAAACTATGTAACATATCGGAGTGAATCAAAAATTGTTATAATCAGCATGAAATTATCTTCTATTTGAACCTACATGGTTGTTATAAAACTGAGTATTACTATTTTTTAAGAGGGTGGGAAGTGAAAACTAATCACCTGAAAATGGCATTTTTTCCTTGAAAACAAAATTTATTTTTTTTGTCTTGATTTCTTTTTGGTTTTTTAGGTTCAAATAGAAGATAAAGGTGTAATGAATACAAAAAAATTTAGTTTACGGATTTCGGACTGGAATTACGAGCTCTATCGTGTCCATAGCACGGCAAATCAAAGCTCGAGGCGCTACGGCATATGTTCCATAAGTCCGCCATTTTGTAAAATATTGTTTATAACTAATTTTTTTTATCATCTCTGATTCTACTTTTAACTATATCCAAAGTTTCACGACGATTGCTTGACTATTTCTTATAAAAAAAAATTCACGAAAAATGGCAAAATTTTGACCGCTTACATGTATATCCCCCCTTAACAAATTGGCAGCCCTTGAGAAGTTCGGTAAGAATCTCATAAGTAACTTACAAATTCATTTCCAAGTCTCTCTCCAAGCTTGTTAAATTCATGTCTGTCTTTAAACTTTGCGAGAACCGGCAAGAAGCGGATGTAAATTGTATCTACGCGTATGCATCTTGCGATGTGACGCATCCATGAGTTCGTTTTCCTTTCACTTTAAAAACTTCTCCTTTCAACGGAGCAGCGGAAGCCTGACATTAAAGGATTACAAGGGGCGGTATTTCTTCTTTGTTAATGAAAAAAAATTAATTCCAGACGAAACTTAAAGAGAGACGCCCCGAAATACCAGGAGAATACAGAAAAGGGAGGAAAGGACTTTATAGTTGATTAATTTTTGGTACACAGTGGAGATTGTATGCTGAAAATGTATAATTTTACTACTAAAGATAGTACTTCGTATCTCTAAAGCTTAAAAAACAAAAGCCTGATATTAAATAGTAGTTGCATATGGGACATGTATTTTTTTCCTGTGCACCAAGATTCAGATTGCACAAGGGCACCCGGGGCAAAGTCATTCAACTTGGGTTACATAAGCATCGATGCGTGCGGCTAAAGACGGAAACAGCTGCAGGGAATTCACTCGCATTTATATATATATGATAACTGAAGGTCGTCGAATGCAACATGCAACATGGACTCACAACAGGGATCAAGGGATCAAGGGACTTGCCATGACTCATCCGCGACACGCCGGCATTCGGTTGAACGATTTATGGGTAACGATACCCGGCATCACATTTTGCATTCCCAACGCCACGCATCATCTCATCTCATCGACTTGAGTCAGAGCCATTGACTTTTGGTATTTTGTCAGTCTCTCGGAGAGGCTGTGCTGCAACAAATTGCTTTCGGTTTTTTTTGGTAGGCTTTCTAAATTTGGCGTTCTGCCTGCTCTGCCCCAAAATACTGCTCACTCGCCTCGGACTCTTCTTGTTCGCATGAAATATTGATCTTAGGTTAAAGTTGCTCACTTGGCCCCCCCGTTTTCCGTTTTTTCCACAAATCGAACTTGACTTTTGGGCTTGTTAAAAGCATATCTCAAATGCGATATATCTATTTATATATTTTTGATTTCTTGATAGTTTCGCCAGCTTATGAATTTGATTAACAAAAATTTAACTTGTTTTGCGACTGATGATAGCTAAAAGTTTTCGGTTTTTGTGGTTTTGTTCTCTCAAAGGTCGTTGTGTATTGTGTGTGACTCGGTGTGGTCATAAAAATAAAGATTTGTGTGGGCTGAAAAATTCGCAAAAAAAAGAGAATATAATATATAAATTTATTTAAATTTCACAAATCTGAAATTTGGATTAAATACAATTTAAATATATACAAATTCCTTGTACCTTATTGCTTTGCCCAAAAATATGATATATATAAAAAACACTTTGCCCAAATGTGTTACCATTTCGCTTTTGTTTTTTTGGCTTATGTTTAATAATTTTACTGTCAATGAAACTCTGCCAAAAATGCATTTACATATGAAGTAAAATTAAAGCAAAAACGAAAACTACCAGTTTTAAATGTTTCACTTTGTTGTTGGCACAACTTGAAGCTGCGAAAAATGAACCAAAAAAAAAGAAAAAAAAATCTTAATAATCATTTGAGAATGCCGAAGGCTTTTGAGGATATACCCAGATTACTAAGCGATGTCAAGGTCATTGCCGGGGACTTGGACTCGGATACCCGGTAATGGACAAGGAATTTCGAGAATGCATTCAGTTATTTGACTCATTCCACTTACTTTGTTTTATAAAGTCTATTAATAATTAATGTGCTCACGATAATCCCAGCTTAATATAGCCGTTGGCATATATTTTTTAAAATTTATATTTCTTAAGTTTTAACTAAGCCCACGTAGACACATATTTTACAAAGAGCCCCCCGGCAGGGTTCGATTTTTGCATGCTGCGCCAAGATTCGATTTCATTTCAATGCTCTACATAGGGGTAACGTTGAATATTGCAAATTAAAATAAATATTTAATTTATAAATATATTAAAATGCATAAATAAGGACTCGACAACTCAGAGAACACATTTATTACTTGAATATTGAAAATTAAATAGCAATAAAGCTTTCTTTTTTCGCTTAATTAAATTCTTGTCACAAAAGCTTTATGTTTCACAAGAGTATTTAACTTTCGCTTATTTTTCTTTTATTTATTTCCTTTTTTTATAGTCGAAAATACTTGTACATTGTCTTCATTCCGTGGGTTTCGCCTTGACTTAAGCATTGGCCATTAAATTCATCCTGTTTTATGCCCAACAGCAAAGAAGAAACAGATTATTTTCTGTGTCAATTGCTGCCTTCAAGAGCAAGCCAAGTTTCTGTTTAAAACTGAAATCGCTTCCCCTTTTCCGTTGCAATTTAATCCACAAAATGTGACTTTGAGAAATAAATGCATTGAATAATATTCTATATAAGTTGGCCTAAGCGGATCATCAAACGGAAGCCTGTCGCAACTAAACACAAAATAAAGGTGTCTGAATTATGGCAAACGGATTGGCAGCGATTTCCTATCCGGCTTGAGCTCACAGATTAATTTCTTGGCTACCGTGTGAGTTCATTTCAGCATTTAGATATATTTATATTCTGGCTCATTTGTGATGTATTTTAATTATGGCTCCCTAATACACAGGAAGAAAAATGAGTATATACGGAAATCGAGAAGACGAAAGAGCTTTAATTAAATCAATAAACCATCTAAATACTTTTTAGCAACAACAAAACAAATAAAGCTTAAAATGCAAACGCAGGGAGCCAGCAAAAAAATCATAGGAAAAAGGCAACAATCTATCCAGCTATGTATAGATAAAATATCACTCTTCGATTAACGATTAAATTAAATCAAAATAAACACGAAAAACTCGAATTTTCAATTAAAGACTAAAAAATGTTCTCTATGGACAAACAAAACAGAAAACAATAAAACATAAAAGAGAATAAATAATATGAAGAAAAAAAATCAATCTTTAAATATTAATGAAGCCCCCTGAAGAACCTGAAAGTGAACTGAAATTCTTGAGACACGCAAGCAGATCCTAGACAATGATGAAGATCGAGATCTTGGAGAGCGACTACGAGTCCGCGTCCGCGGAGAGTGCTCAATTTATCAAGTATACGACCTGTGGCTCGGCTCATCTCTCCGCTTGGCGCTTGGCCAAATAAATTAACGTATCCAGCGAAAAAGCGTGCATAAAAAATAAAAAATCAAACTTGTTCCCACTCACACACTCACGCACTTTAAGCCCCAGCAGAGTCTCTGTCACCTGAGTAGGTGTGCGTGCTTTTGCTGAGTGTGTGTGTGTGTATGTGTGTGTGTTGCTCTCAAGTCTCGAAATTCGATTTCAGTTTTTCAGTTTTTTTCGTGTTCATTTTTTTTTCGCCTTTTTGTTTCGCGTCTGCCTCTGTTTATATGGCAAAGACGCGATGCGTTCATCTTCAGTTCGTCCACATCGGTCACCACGGTATGAGCTCTAGTTTAGGCTCCTAAAAGTAACTGCTACTAAACCCCCCAACTAGTGATCTACTATATGGAACTGTACTAATTGCAAGGATAAATAATATGGAATTCTCGAGAGTTCTACCAAAGCCTTGCTATCGTGTGAAAACTGTGTGCCTCTGAAATCCAAAAAATTAATGCGTACAAACATTTTCTTCTTTTTCAAGATTGGAAATTGGATAACTGAGTTTATTCCATTGTAAAATCTAAAATACCTAAATATTTACTGGCGTTCCTTGTGTCAAAAAAACCGTAAAAATTCGTTGCAAAATGGCGCGTGCAGCATTATGCATGGTAAGTTTAAAATATAAAAGGGAAATATTTGGGGAAAATTATAAGAATTAACTTATAAAAATTTTAATTATATATTTAATTTTGTATTTTGGAACTTAACTTTAGTTTAGGGTTTTCTTAATATACTTGTTTTTGGGTTTTCAAATCCCTTTTCTTTTTACACAAAATTTAAATATTATTTCATTTCTTATTTTGTAATAATTTGGAGACACCAAGAGCATTTAGCACTCTGCTAATAATAATGTCAAATATGAAATACAAATAAATATGCGAGAAATACTTCTGCTTCGTTTGTTTGATTACAAAACGAACAATAAATGCATGGCAACCAAGTTTGAAGGCTAGAATATCTGTTAGAGCTCATGACCAATAATAGATGAACGATTTTTTACGATTTTTAACGAGCGTTAACAAGTCCGGGTCAAATTGCAACTATTTCGGTTCAGTTTTTGTTCAAATTTACCCTCTAAATATAAGTTTCTAGCCCTCAACTTGGTAATAATAGTAATAATAATAGTAGCAAGCGACCGGCATTTTCTAGGCAAACAAATAGTACACAAATACCGGCAATTTCGTAATGATCGTAGATACTCTTCTGTTTGCTTAACGCGCGCACAACGCAAAAAAGCGTCTTGCCCAGTTTTTGTGTCTGTTTTTTTCTCGCTGAATTTTTATTGTTGTCATTTGAAATCCAATCGATATTCGTAATTGTGTTGTTTTAGTCAAAGTATATAGAAGACGAGTCAACGGGCAAAAATGTGGTAGCACAAGGGAAAAACGTTAACAATTTTGTTGTTTACCGAATAAAGCGTTAAGAGAGAGTTGAGTTTTGTATAAATGACTTCAAATTATTGCGGATTTCGTATGCAAATTCCGTTGTATCATTTGTAAATGTTTTTTTTTTTTTTGCCTAGATCCGTTTCTGCGAAAGTCCAAGTTAAATTATGAGTCAAGGACTCGCTTCATTAGCAAAGACTATCGCAGCAAAGTGTTAATTTGATTCTTAGATAATACTCATCCCAAGTTGTTAATTGTGTGTTCGGGCTATAAATTCCACCGAAAAAAGTGTGCTTTTATTGGGTGCCATAATGACGCTCTAAGTGAGCTGAGATATCATCTCGATTTGGGCTAGAAAAAATGGTTTTTGTCTCAGGTTCTGTCACCTGCCAAATGCTCCGTGCCTTTGACCCCTTCTTCCCCGTTGGTGGTTAAGCTTTTGGGTTCGGTATTTATCACAACGGCGACCGACAGCCTAAGTCCCTGCTCTGTTCTGGCCAAGATATCTCTGCCAGACACGTACACAAGCAAAAAATACAAGAAAAGGGGGCGAGAAATATTGTTAATGCCCCGCGGCAAGCGTTGACAGGGCATCTCATCTTGGCCCACAATTCTTTTTATTATAAATTTTGGTTCTTCACTTTGGTTGTGCGGAATTTTAAAGAGTGCGCGGAATTTTCATCGCCGCTTTGCTGGCTTGGCTGCAATCTGAGAAGATTTAATCGCTCGTTCAGCGGCCAAGTTTGTGTCATAAAATGGAGTAGCAAAAGTCGAGATTTGCATGACAAACAGCTGGCTTCTGCCGCTAGGCAATTGAAATAAATTGCGGCATTTATAAGGCTGTAAAATAGAGCGTAAAGCGTGTCCATTAAATAGTTTAGCGTCTTACAGTTAGGAGAATTTAGGGGAATTCTTGAGGAAATTGGGTTATTTTTAATGGGTTACCAAAGTTCTTGGCCTCTGAAAAATTCTTAAATTATTTCAACACCCTTTTTACATAAGAGTTCAGGGAACTTTTGTGGCTTCCATTCACTTTTATCGCTCATCAATTTTTCCATTCTTTCTTCTACCCACTTTGACTTTCGATATTTGCTGGCCAAAAGGTTTTTGTTCCCCGCCTCGCATTAATTTATTTTGCTAGCCAATTTTAATACGGAATCTATAGAGATATATGTATCTTTAAGACAAAATCTAGAAATGCAAATTAGTCTCTTGATCGCCTGTCAGCGATTAGGAGAAACAATACTTTATTGGCGATGATGGAGCCTCGCCTGGCGGTGGAAGAGGAAGTCTTTGGGGCTGGTTTAAATAAAAACGAAAACGCTTTGCCAAAAGCATTATATTAGCTTCAAGACAAATGCCAAAAGTTGAAAGTAAAAGTTTTTTTTTTTTTAGAAAATATGATGTCACGCGGCAGAGCCAACGGTTTATTTTTTAATTGCATTCATAAATCAGAACAAGTCGAGTGGAAGTTCACTGACAGCCAGTTTAATGAGCTACACATTCGCCGGACAAATTCCCAGCTTTGTCCGCGACCAAAACACCTGACTAATTCCTTTGCCCAAAAGTCCATCGATGAGGAATGAACTCATTAGCACGGTTCTGCTCTCAAATCTAAATTCTAGATTCGGTGCTAATTAAAGCAGCGTCTGGATTAACTGGAAAATCCATAAGAGCCGAAAAAGGCCATCGCCCATAGCTGGTCAGACCCGTTTCCCCCAGAGATCATATCGATCGAATCGAGAAGTTCTAATAACTTTTATCTCTGCGGAACTTGTTGCCGGGTAGGCTCATTATGAATGTTTCTCTGGCATTTTTACCATCAACGCTTAAAGTCTGGCTTTATGTGCAATATACACATGTTTTTGGGGGGGAATATGCATTTGGAAACACTGACGAATTTCACAATTCCCCAACGGAGTTTCGGTTGGAAAAGAAATTTCACAATTTCTGGGCAGACCCGAAACTGCATCCCACAAATAAAAAAAAAAAAAACAAGGGATAAAGATGTCATCGATTAAGGTCGTTGCATTTTAATTCGATTTATCGAAATAAGAAAAGAAAAAAGATGTGTTTTTCTTGTTCAATTCAAGATACGAGCCGACCTTGAAAAGTATAAATACTTGCACGAAAAAAGTTTCGCTTCGGCCAACCGCCAACCGCCAAAGGGCAAAAGCAGTCAAGAGGCTCCAGCGAAAAGTGTGGGGATATGACTAAACTGGTTTGGGATGATGATGATTATGATTTTGATTATGATTAAGGTGATCATGAGAAGAGGTTGTATTTGAAGTCATGTAAACATCAAGCGAAACAAACTCTTGTGCGTGCGAATAAGTCGATTAATAAATGGTTTTTGCCAGCTCCGAGTTATGCAAAAATGTTCAAGATTCATTGGCTCATTGTGCATACTGGCATACTGGTACACTGAAGAACGCATGCCATGGTTCTCAAGGCGGAGTTACGCTTTTTTTGGGTCACCGCGACAGCCGCCACTCGGCGTGGATGATCTATGCGACTTGGAATTGATTTACTGCATCTGCAACTCGCACTCCTCTCGCACTGTGATGGCTGACACCTCTCATACATATAGGTGGTATTCATATTTGTGGCCCACATTTGTTAGTTGCTTTTTGTGCTTAATTGATTGGCAATTGATTTTGGGGGCTTTGTGGCAGCTCAAAAGCGGGCTTGGCTGCCCCCTTCACTCAATTAAAAGGTTTAATTACGCAAAACAAATTAATTTGTTAGCCTAGTTTCGGAATCAGGGTGAAGTTTACGAGGTTTTTTGGTCGGTAAATGTTTAGCAATGAATACAAAGAAATTTCAAGGAAATTATAAACCCATAAGTATGATTTCTCTCTTAATTCTCTTAAGGTAGAATTCCTAGAACCTTTTAAGAAATTAATTCAATTTAAATCTTAACAAATATTTACTTTACAAGTAGAATTCCTAGAACCTTAAATCCTTTGAGGACTTTAATTCAGGAAGTTCTTTTCCAGCAATTTCTGATCAATTTTGTTGGTTTTATGACTTTCCTAGAACTTGAAAGCCTCCTTGCCTTTATTAACTATTTATAAGCTCTTTCTGGGAATTTTTCCAAGAAAAACAAACCACATGCCATCAATCAATCAATCACTTACAATAGTTTTTCTTGACTTTAACTAAAACGAAAAAAAGTGATTCGGCAATATGTTAGTTTCCCATGAGTTAAAGACAAAGTTTTTGACTTCATAAGCAATCAACGACTACCACTCAGCATGCTAGAAAATCAATAATCGCTGCAAATAATGAAAAACTTTGGTAATATCTAACAACTTTCATTCGCCATTAAAAAATTGTAGAAAAAACACCTATTTTTTTATGAAAAACTTGCCCCGCGGCAACGGTGTCGATGTGGGTGAGATGGAAACGACCTCCGTTGTCAGCAGCTGCTGCTGCATATATCATGGCATAATAAATTAATATCAAACAATTTGATTTTTTTATGGGCTCTGGGATTTTTTCATAATTTGTCTTACTATTGACTAGTGACGGAGATTTTGGAGCACAGCCGAGATTCGGCAACAAATTTGAGACTTGGAGATATGCCAATCAAAAGACAGTAGATGTCTGAAGAAACAGCAGCCACCAATTTGCATTTTCATATTTTTACCTTTTTTTTAAAGGCCGCGATAGGCAAATAAATTGGTTTTATGTGAAATTCATTTGTTTTGTCGCCGCAGTTTTGAGTCATTTTCGGTTTCCTTCACATGGTTTGATTTCCATTTTGTTTGCACCCACAAAAAGAGTGAATAAAAAACTGAAAAAGAAACTAAAGAAACTGAAAAATTATTGACCTTATCGCTGCTATTGAGCATTGGAATCTATGGCGGGTGTTAACCATTGTTTCCCATTTAATTACTGCAATCCCTCCTTAACCTTTAAGGCAAACACACCCTCGCCGAATCGATTTGAGCCTCAATTTGGGCTTGAAGAGATCTATCAAATCATAAACGAATTAATTACTTAGCATAATGCGAAGGTCATTTTCCGCACCTTCCGCAGCTTCCCTGCTCTTTAGCGACATATTTAGGAAATATGACTCGTTTATATACGAATTCTATATTAGGATGTGGCTTATAGTATACTAAATTTCGTAAAAGAACTCGTTTTCACACAAGGAAGTCTTGGCAATGCCGGAACTTGGCTTGATTATATTAACTCTATGGGCAATTTATGCAAATTAGCGAACCAAACAATTTCATAATCTCAGATATTAAGGCGGAGATCTTTGGGCAGATGATCATCCACAGCTTAAGTGGGACAGACAGTTTTTGAGAGCCTCGAAGATAAGTAATGCCATTCGGTAATCGATTTGCAGCTGCCACTCAGAATGCCGACAAGTGCATTTAGAACTGAGCTAATTGTCCATTACTGTCAATGGATGCCAACTGGTTTTTCTTTGGCATTTTCGCGACGTCTGTGACAAATCTCGGGAAATTAGCATGTACGAAAAATCCAGTTCCAAATTGCAAAGGCAAACTGAAAAGAGAAAAAAAGATATTTGACGAGAATGCGGTGTGATTTGATTATTATGCCTTTGACATTTTAGCCAACATTTTTTTGGTGAACGGTTTTTACTCTTCGCTTTGGTTTCGTATTGAACCGGATCTAAATGGCTGCTGATTTGCTCGGGCACACACATAACCGAAAAACGAGCTCAAACTTCCAAGTCTTGACTCATCTCTCCCCTCGACCAGGGGTATATGTATGCAAATTGAGCCCAGCCGAGTCAAGACTTAAATCTTGAAATTTTTTTTCTTATTTTTTTTTGGGGAGGAGGCAGCGGAGGCGTGCCATGAATGTGACAAATCTTTTCGACAGCTGCAAGTTTGTGTGTTCATTATTAATTATTCGTCTTCTCTTTCAGGCCGTCGCTTGCATCTTCTTGGTGCAATGCGTCTACTCTCAGAAATACGATTCTGAGAACCGTCGTCTGATTCTCGACATCAACGACCAAAAGACAACGAATCAGCAATACTATTCGTCAAACTTTGACACAAGTAAGTGGACCCGTTTTGCAATTTTACTACTCTAAGCCGCTTGAAACCATTCCAAAAGAAACATTCGAAAAATATTAAAACCCAAAACCCATTAACTATGTAAAATCGTATCCATATCGTAGATATGTATTCTAGATAAATCCCCATCCATGCAGCTAGTTAGTTCTTGTTTTTTCGTTAAGTAGCTAAACAAATTGGCAAACGAATTGTTATTGTTACCGTAGTTGTTAGTAGTAGTACCTTAGTAAGTAAGTATTTGTACTATCCCCCTTCCCCCAAAAACCCCCAAACTCTGATAGTTCCAACCGACTTACATTCATTAATCTATACTCCAAATCGAAACAACAACCAACTGTAGAAACCCTTCTATATATAAACATTTATATATACACCTCCGTAGCAGCTTACTAAACTCACCCAGTAGAAACCGTAGTCTGCGTCGTAGCTATACTCAAATTGTAAATATATATACACGCTCAACAATCAATCAAACCATTTACCTATATCTCTCTATACCTCTCTTATTCTATGCTACTTTCTACTCCTACGAATATTTATACACTTCCTTCAACAGTTTTATGTAGGCATTATTGCTCTTCGGTGGCCAAAAGGTCTACATGAAACCTCTTTAAAAATGCTTCGCATACTCATAACTCTACCTCACCACCTCGAAATTGATTACTTCAGACAAAACCAGATAAAAAAAAGAAAATAAAAAATAAACCCCCAAAACAACAACACACACAACAAACACCAACATTTTCCTTCAACGAAATATCATCTGATTAGGCTCTTTGTGAAACTACTTTCAGTTACAGCGCCCTTTAAGAGATGTTAGTTCAAAGTCAAAGTTAGTCGAGAGTCTAGGGTTCATTTTCAGGTCCTCAAAGCAAACACTCCTCCAAGCAAACCACACAAAATCACGCAAAATAAAACAACCAAAAACGTTATACTCTAAACATTACCTACTCTTCCAAAACCAAAAACCAAAATCAAAACAACCCAAAACCAAACCCAAAAACCAAACCAAATCAACACGAACATGATCATCATCATCCCCCAAAAGACGCCTATCGGTATGGCTACGATGTCGGCAAGACCGGCAACTTCCATCACGAGACCCGTGGTCCCGACGGCGTCACCTATGGCTGCTACGGCCTCATCGATCCCTACCACCTGCTCCGGGCAACACACTACGTGGCCGATGCCCACGGCTACCGCACTGTTGAGCCAGAGAAGCCAGTGGAGACCTTCCCACCGCATTTGTACAAGGAGACTGATGGAGGTCCCTCGGAGCCGGGCATTCTCCTGCAGTGGGACGAACTCTACTTCCCCATTGGGTGTGGCAAGTTCGCTAATGGCGCCCAACATGGAGTTCCCTACTTCATCGGCGATGTAAGAGGGTGAAGGAGGAAGTCCCCAAGGAGGCGGTTCCTAATTGTTTTCTAGAATTGTGATTTCCGAAAGGCAGATGAAACAGGGTTTAGGATGAATTCTTAGTGCTGAGTTCAAAGGAATCCTTGATATTTCTTTAGAAAAGAGTCTCACATCAACTTAATATATTTCACTTATAAATATTCCTTAAAAATAAGACGCCATTTCTGAGTAGTAAATGGAACATACTTTTTAAAATTAATTTACAGAATTAAAACTTTAGAAACTATTTCAAAAAACAATCTAGTTTTAGCTTCGGAAAACAACTAAAAATCAAATACTTTACCTTTCGGTTAACTAAATTCTAAAAAACGATAAGGAACTCACCCTCCCGGGGGAAACACACTTCTGACTAGCGATATTTTGCAGTACAAGGCCAAGGAGGGTAGCAACGATGCGATACCATCGTTCTCCGTCAATATTCCCGTGCTGAAGGGCTCCGACCAGAAGAGTCTGCCCATCCACAAGCCCACAGGTCCAATTGTGCCCCAGGGCACGGGGATCTTTGGCACAGACAAGGGACACTCCGATCACAGCCATCCCGGGGATCAGGCGCCGTCCTTCCATTCGGTGAACACCCTGCTACCAGGCAGCAACAGTGAGCACTCCAGCCATCCAGAAGGCATACCCGCGATTGCAGTGTTTGTGTTCTTTTAGATGATGGCCAGTACGTGCCGGATAATAATCCCTACCAGCATGTGGTGGGACCCAATGGCGGCAACGGAGGCAGCGGCTCAGGCGGCGGCTTCGGTGGAAACGGAGGCGTCGGCGGCTTCGGTCCCAATGGACCAAATGGTCCCAATGGACCGAATGGACCCAAGGGACCGTTTGGTCCACCGGGACCACCGGGACCGGTCGGCGCGGGAGGAGGAGCCTCAGGAAAACCGGTCTACAGGGACGGCGATCGTACAGGCACCGGCAGCGGTTCCGGAATCGGTTCCGGCGATCGCTACACCACCGGAAAAGGCGGTGCAGCCGGCTCCGGTGATCGCTATACCACCGGAAACGGTGGCGGCATTGGCGGTGGCGATCGCACGGGAACGGGTAGCGGTTCCGGAATCGGCGCCGGCGGCCAGTATCGGCCGGGCAATGAGGGAACCTACACGAGCACCTACACGCACACAGAGACCGGTTTTCCTGGGGCCATCGCATATCAAGCAGGTTAGCCCTCCAACGATTTACTACGAATTACTGGAGAGCAAAATTTGAACGAGCTGCGGCCGTGGCTGTAAATGTGGCGGATGTGGATGGGAGCGGATGAAGTGTGCCAATCGAAGGTTTTATGACATCGAGTGATTCCCCCATACGACTGTGCGTGCGATCAGTTCGTTCAAATTTTCCTCTTCAAGGCTTCCTCCTAGCTGTAAGAGTTCTTTTGCTAAATTATCCGTATGTCTCTTTTACCTTAATTTAAACTTTAAACTATTTTAAGGATCTCTTGTTTATTTTCAGCCAAGAAACCAAAATGATTTCTGAACCGTAAATGCACTTGCATAACTTTAAATTTGCAAACAAGTTCCTAGGGAACAATATTACACACACCAAACACACCCACACACATATATAAGCTAGGCAATTGTAGGGCACGTTTTTTGATTTTTTAGTTATCCTTTATTATCAGAGCACCTCTCCCAAGAGCGCACAATCCCGATATATACCTCTTTTTCTATATATATTTATATCCTCACTTTCTATCCTTTCTGCACAAAAAAAGTTATCGAATTGAATCGAACCGAAGATCAGCGTTATATCACTCATTTGCTTGCACCGATCCCACAAATACACACCCCACATCCTACACACCCTACACACCCACACTCCACTCCATTTATGATAAAAAATAATTACACAGCACATGAAATTGTAGAAAAAAAACCCGCTTGAGCAATGACTACTAACCAACTCTATAACTGCCACTAACCGTTATTATCTGTGATTTATGATTTGTGTCCGGTATTCGGTTTATACTATATATTCCTCCTGATCCCCGTAACCCCCAGATCCATAGTTTGATACTAACTCCATCCTACTTGTTTGCTTTGTTGTTATGATTTTTGTCCTGGTGTCGGCCTAGACCGTTTAGCATGTAAACGTATTTTGAATGTACACTTAGTTACGTAGATCAGTTTTAGATAAATATTAAAAAAAAAAACATTGTAGTAATTAATAGTAATTAAAAATCTAGTAAAAATCGTAGACAGTATCTAGTTAAATCGTGAGCATGTGGAAAGTCCCTTTCTTAATGCAACGTTACTAATCGAAATGTATTTTTATGATCTTCAAATCCACTTTAGATAACGGTAAATATAATGGCAATGGTAACGACGGACGCTATTATGGTGAGTTATCCTTCAGAGATCCTTAATTATGGGATTGCTTGATTACAGCAAGGATATATACTTATGTTTGTCTTTTGATTACAGGTATTAACGATGGCAAATATTATCACGATGATTCTGGCAAATATGTGCACGTTGAAGGCCCCACTGGTCCACCGGCACCCCCATATGTCCACGTTGTTGGACCCGAGGGCGGATTCGGCGGTAATGGCGGCAAGGGAGACGGCGGCGGCGTAGGCCCAGGCGGCCCAGGCGGTCCCAAGGGACCTGGCGGTAAGTTATCTCGACAAAACCTATAATAAAATTACTAAAACTGCTTAAATTATACCTAAAAAGTTTACAAATGGGGCTTCTAATTATAAAAAATTAACTCCACGCAATTTATATTTTTATTTACTATAATTTTCCTCTTATTCGTAGGCCCCAAGGGACCCAACGGACCCCCAGGACCTCCCGGCCCACCCGGCCCTCCAGGTAAGCTTTTGAGACCTTCCAAGGTCCTTGAGGTTTCTAGTAGCAGAGTTTAACCCACTTAAAAACGATCATTCAGGACCTCCCGGACCCAAGGGACCTACTAAGCCCGGACCTAAGGGTGAGTTTAAGAAAATAAAAAAGAAAAGAAGTTGGAATTAAAAATTCTTTTATCCTTCGTAGGACCCTTCGGACCTCCCGGCCCACCCGGACCACCTGGACCCACTCGTCCCGGCCCATACGGACCACCCGGACCTCCCGGCCCAACTCGTCCCGGCCCACCAGGACCTCCCGGACCAACTCGTCCCGGCCCACCAGGACCTCCGGGCCCAACTCGTCCCGGACCTCCGGGCCCAACTCGCCCAGGACCACCGGCACCGCCCAACGATCCCCGGTACTCGGACAAGGAGACGCCCGGCTATTTGCCACCAGACCAACCGGGTAAAATCTCGAAACCACCAGCACCCCCATCCCACTCACAAGTCATTGCCATTGAGCCACCGAGCAAGCCAGTTTTTAAGCCGAATTACGAACACAACAATGATTATGTGCATAAGCAGGTGCCCGTAACGACAAAGCCACCACTAACCTATATTCCACCTTCTTTCCCTCCCAACACTCCAAAACCCTATGTTCCCGCTCCCGTTCCCGTTTCCGTTCCGCCATCCCAAAAAATAACCACCACCACCACCACGACGATCGTACAGCCAAAGGTCCCGGCTATCACTATTAAGAAGGATACGCCAGTTAAGAGCGTTACGCCACCGCCAGTGACAACGGGTAATATTGAAAACCATACGTACCTACCACCGCCACCGCCGACGCCCAAATACGTAATCAAGACCTCGACCCCGACTCCCATTTCGATACCGATCCAATACACTCCCTCGACACCGAGACCCTTCGAGAAGGTGAACACCGCACCGCCTCAGATTCAGTACCATACGCCACAGGTGCCTCCGGTGCCTGGCTATACTGTGACCAAGACGCCGACCAGCCCCCCGACATATAGACCACAAGCCTACGTCGAACCGAAAGTAACGCCTCGTCCCTCTCCACCATTGCATGTGCCGTCGATCAGCGACCAGTCCTGTGTGTGTAACGCCGATAAGACGCACTCATCAAGAAACACCCTTACCTCCACCACCACCACTAGCACCACAACCAACACGAACTCCTATCCCAATCCCGCCTCTGTTGACTTTAACAAACAATTCTCCGGCTTCAACGGACAAGCGAACTTCGGCAGCATAATAAACGCCATGTCACTAACCCAACTGCCGGTGATACCTCAGGCGCCCGGACAGCCGGCCTTCTATCCGCCGGACAAGATCCCCAAGGGCGCCGTCATTGCTCTGATGCCCGTGGTGATCCTGCCGCAGGAGTATTATTCTAGCTGCGAGGAAAACTCCGTCTACCAACACTCGAACATCGATCCCTTCCCGCTGGGCGTTCAGCCGGCGTCCTTTAGCCTCCACTCCGTGCTAACGGGTTCGGCGCCAAAGGATCAGTGCATGTGCCCCTGCTCCTGCACTCAGAATCTGCCTGGAAGGTTGCACAAGAAGCGCGAGGCCAGCGATGCTGAGGTACCCGCCGAACCCGAGGCATCTGAGAAGGTGGAAGTCAAGGTTGAGCCCGTAGCAGCGGCCTCTGAGGAAGTGAAGGTCTCTGTCTCCGAAGAGTCCAAGGTGAAGGTTGAACCTGTGGCTGCAGCCTCCGAGGAGGTTAAGGTACAGGTTGAGCCTAAGCCTGCGGCCTCCGAGGAGGTGAAGGTGCAGGTTGAGCCCAAGCCTGCGGCCTCTGAGGAGGTGAAGGTGCAGGTTGAGTCCAAGCCTGCGGCCTCCGAAGAGGTGAAGTTGCAGGTTGAGCCCGTGGCAGCCCCCTCCGAGGAGGTCAAGGCCAAGGTTGAGCCCGAGGAGATCAAGATACTGGCCGACCCCAAGCCAGAAATCAAGGCGACTAGCGAGACGAACTAAGACAAGGACTACGAAAACCGCAACCAACCAACCTAAACCCTTCCCAGATCCCGCTTTATCCAATCCCAACCTCGATCCTACCTCCCAAAAAAACAAAACTAAACCTAGTCTAAGTGTTTTTAGTGTCTGCCAGGCAGGGCCAACCAGCATTTAAGATGGGCAAATCGACGGAGAGCCCGGGTTATGTGTTCGCTTCTTGTGTTATTTGAATTTCGACAGCAATTTTGGTAAATGCACTCCAGACCGCCTGTCCAAGACGAGATATATCGGCGCTCTCTATGTATAATTCCTCTAAATTTCTATTTGTAAAACAAAACGCTTCCCTTGAGAGCACTGAGAATTGGCAAAAAGAGAATATTGTTTGTGACATGTTGTTTATTATGCATTTGTGTATGCTTTTTATTTTTTATGATTTCGTTCGGTTTTATTTCTTTATGATTTTTTTATCGACTTTAGTTCTTAGTTTATTTAATGTCTACTCTAATAATGATTGAGACGGAATATTGAATTGTTATGTCAAGAGAGAAATATTGAAATTAAATAAAAATTAAGAAAAAAGTTTTGGTTGTTTTCTTGGTTTGTTTGCCTCAGTGGGGTTAATTGGGCTGGCAGCTAATATGATTTAAATAAAATTTAAACAAAATGAAACCTTGTGGGATTTTGTATTTTATAACAATAAGTGAGAAAGTTTAAAAGAGATAGTGAGAAATGGAGATATTCAGAAAGAAAGAGTGAGAAAGAAAACAAGAAGCAGTCATAGCGACAAATCACTCATACGACATGTAGATTCAATCGATTATGACCAAATTAAAATTTTAAAATAAAGCTAAATCTCAGATTCTAAAAATGCTTATACATATTTTACAAAAAAACGAACGTGAGGAAATTTTCACAATATTTTCCGCTGGCGGTTTTATGAAGGACAGACAAGGAGGGCAACATAGAAGGGCATATGTATATTATTTAGAAAATTATAGTACACAGCAGGGGTATTATTAATATTAAATACATCCTTGATCTAAGATAACTAAATTATATTATTGAGTCTTTTAAACTCAATATATTAAATTTGAAATTAAAAATGGCAGTCTGAATTCTTCGCAATTTTGGTTTGGATATTTGTAAAATATAGACTGGCCAGTGGCGCCCCAAACGGCATTTGGTGCCTTACTATATTTAAAGTCAAGCTAAAGATATGCCTAAAATTATGCTATACATACAGCGGAAAGGCAACTGTTTTATATTAAATTTGTGACTAAAAAATGTAGTAAATGTAGCTGAAAAATATTTTAAACAGCATCAATTAGTAACAACCGTTTGTAGTTTCATTTACAACTTTCTTGAAAGCATCTTTATATTTTCTTTACGAAATTTTAGGCAAGGTCTAATTATAATTTATTGAAAAGAAGACTCTCGTCTCTTAGTAACCTATTACTGCCCGTTCTCCTCTCTTGATGCCCACAAAATGTAAGAGCAAACATTGTGTTTTCCAGGAATCCAAAATTTGAAATTAAATCTTTATAAAAATATAAGTGAAAATTATGTTAATAATGACTTGTGTATACCGCAATCGTTGACGCCTGACAAGCACTAATGGTCAGTCACTCAGGGTATATAAGACACAAGTTTTATGTTGAATTAATAATAAATAAAAAAGTAAGTTGTAGTCTTTTCTCATTCAAAAGAGTTGAAAGCAAGTTGATGCTCATTAAGAATCATAAAGGGATATATATTTTTGTATTCTCCAGGGTTCGTTAGCGTCGACTTCCTTATTCTTAGCTTCATCTGGTTCTGGTTCATTGTGCCTAAAATGGTCTTTCTCGACATGAAATATCTCCCAACGAAATGTCCCGCCCCCCTAGAATCAGCTCGGCTCCTCTTCCCCTGTTTCCATTTGGAGTGGTTTGCAATACAGGAAAATTCCAGCTAGGCGGCAGCTCCTTGGAAATCAATAGACGAACACAACGAGGGAGCGAAGCCAAAGTGAAATGGAGACTTTTGTTTATTTTTTGTTATTCTGCTTCAATGTTATTCCGGTAGAAAGGTAAGTACATAATGGAATTCAAGCCAACCAAAATGCCTTTAATGTAAGAAGGCTTGGCAAATATTCGCCTCGAGCTAAGGTGTAACGGAGCAGTAATTTTATTGACATTTATTGTATTATTTAGGCATACATTTTCGTGCCAAAATAGAGTAAAACTTAAGCAAACAAGAACACGTGTCTATTTGATTTTGCCCAGGGACTAAATTAAGCAATTTAATGATATTTTTATAAGGGTTAATAAGTTAGGAAATTACAATGCTTTAATAATAAGTTATTCCAAGAATTCATATTAAAATTTTAAAGGAATTTGTATCAATTTAAATGTAATTCCCTTAAAGATGTAACCATTTAGGTCAGTTACCATTGCACCTTGAGAGCCTAACCCAGTTTTTTTTTGGCTACATTTTACAACTTTGTCAAGTCAATAACTGAAGAGTTGCAATATACCCGCATATGCCGCCAAAATACCCGACACTTTTCACACATTGTTTCTTTTTCTTTCGCAGCTTTTGGGCTTATAGGTGGAGGTCAAAATTCGGGTGAAGACAAATATGCTTTCAGATAATTTCCAAATCTTTCTAGTCACCATCGCCAACTGGAGTTTCATGAATGAATTTACAACCGCTCAAGGTCTTCACGCGGTTATGAAATATATATTTTTGGTTCTGCCGGCGATAACCTGAGGATTATGCAAGAGAACAAAGTGAACAAAGCTACAAAGAGTCAAATAACGTAAATATTTAGACAACAAACTTTCTGTAGATAATTGGAATTAAAGATATACTAAGCAAGCACGACCTGGGCCTCTCATTCATGGCGGACTGGCGGTAAAACTTGAAAGAAATGCGATCCGTGAACTTAGGGTAAATATTAAATGGTTCCACGGGGCGGTGTTTTTGCTGTCTTTGTTGCATTTGTATTTCTTTCTGGTTTCGGTTTTGCTATTTGTGTTTGCCAAAGTTTCAGAGAAGGCAAATAGCTAAAATTAAACTCAGCTCACGCACCGGCAAGTTGGGGCATTTATTTTGTCACCTGCCTGGCCAAATTGAGAATATTACTCGCATTATTAATAATAATGCATAATCGCTGGCAGCAAAGGTCTCACAGAATTCTCGTAGAACTCTTTAGGGCTGGATTCCCACCTGTGGAGTCGGAGTTTTTGCTTTGCCCACCGCCAACTGGGCGTATGAGTAATAAAGCCGAGCTCGGCTAAAGTGTGACAAGTGAGCGAGAGTGGGAGGCTTTGTTTTATTTTGTTTTTGTTTTTGCCTTTGTTTTATTTTGTTTGGTTTGTTTCAACGGCGACGGCGACAGCGACTTCAAGTTGAGCGTAGCAACTCAGCCGGAAAATGAAAAATATAAATTGGCCTCTCGTCTGAGAAACAGAATTATTTAACGTCCAACAACCGTGCCAAGCAGTTGTCTTGGTTTCCAAAGCTCTCTGTCGTCTTCTTCTGATAAGTTTTCAGTGTTTTGTTCTGATTTGTTTCCTTTTTAAAAATAGTAAAGGCAGCGCAGCATCACCATGTTCATCAAGCTATTTATGCTAATGGTGAGTGCTCAGAGCGATATCCAATTTGTCTTGATACCTGAAAACGAGAGCCCTTAAAACCGTATTCCAGCTGGCCGTGACAGGAGCCTTGAGTGCCGTCCGGCCGGAGAATCATGTGGCAGCAACGGAGGCCAGGACAACGACAGGTGACCTGGCCACCGCTGAGACTTCAGCCAAGTGTAAGTACAGGGGATTATTGGGATTAAGAAATGGGGAAACATGGGGAAGCAGCAGTAAAACGGGAATATGTATGTGCTTTAGTTTAGCAAAGTTGTAATATTAATTAGATTAACTAAACTACAAAATGTGGAAATGTGGCTATCAGCTTCCCTTAAAGATTTGTTCTTTTAAAGTTCTTATATTTAAAATAAATAAATATTAATTTATGTCTTGAAATTCCCACCCTTCTCAGTGCTCAATCTTTTTGGAACCGGCACTGGTTATCCCAGTTATGGCTACAACTACAATCGTCCTACCACCGGCTATTATCCTGGCTATCCCAACACGAACTACTATGGAAATTCCAACTATTATCCCGGCTCGGGCTATGGATCTTCCAGCTTCTATCCCAGCCAAGGCTATGGATCAACAAACTACTATCCGAGTCAGGGTTACTATCCCAGCAGCGGCTATTATCCCACCACGAACATCCTGGGAACTCAGGGAGGCGGCTATGGTGGATATGGAGGCTATGGAGGTAATGGCGGCTTTAGGCAATATTCGGGTTATTGGCAGCGCGACTATCAGGGGCAGAGGAATCGAGGCTATGCCTACTACGACGACACCGATCGATATGGCCTGCCCCTGTCCAGGGATCGTGGCTACGGCTCGAGCTCGTATCGCGGCTATAACTAACATAAGTATCTGGCCTTGTGTGTGCTCGTCTGTGTGTGTTGTTAATGCTTTTTGTTACTGCTTTTCGCCCCGCCTAACCACTAATAAGAATAAAACCAAAGTGTATCTCAACTGCTACTAATTTAATGTGTAAGCTGACGCTTTGGCTTTTTGCGCTTAATTAATTTGCCTCTAGGTTACATTCAAATTACCTGCGGACACGCCCAATTGCACCCTCAAATTTGTCCATTTGTCATTCGTTCATATTCATGGGCTCTCCGGCTCGTTGAATTGTCTGGCAAATTAATTGCATTTTTGCAGCTACGGCCAAAAAGTTGGCTACGAATTTGTTGGCTAACTGGGGGCGTCTCGCGTTGCCAACTTCTTGCTGACTGGTGGTTTCACCCGTTCTCTTACTCTCTGTCTCCATTTCAATTTGCAGGCTATGTGCGCACCACTTTCGGCTAACACAGTCATGTGGGAAGACCGACAAGAACTTAACCAAATGCCACGCTCCAGCACGCAACAAAATCCACAAAAACCAACAAACAAAAAAAGATCGTAAAACTTATATAAGCAATTTATTAGGAAGCACATCATCCCGAGATGTTAAAGCACGGCTGTAACCTTCAACTTGGAATATTCGGCGGCTGCAGTCGAGCAGCCACACAGTTGGCTTCAAGTTTCTGCCCGGAGACAAAGTCTTGGTCTTAAATTTTAAGTAAAGTCGTGTTTATGTTTTTCCATTCCCTCCTCTGCTGCTGCTGCTGCTGTTTGCTGCAAGCTCGTAAATGCAGCGGAGCAAACTTTTCATCGGAATTTTCCCAGGGAACATGCTGGCTCGAGGGGTTTTCTCCTTCTGCTGCGAGCAATTTGTGATAAGCTAATAGATTTTCCTTGTTAAATACAGCCATATTTTACGGACAATTTTATGTGAGGCCCTACGAAAATTAATTAAGCGAAATGTAGCTCCGCAAGTCATACAAAAGAATATTAACAAGAAAGGAAGCTAACTTCGGCACGCCGAAGTTTGTATACCCTTGCAGATTGGTTTTGATGTTTATTTTATAGATTTAAATGCTGAAAACACTCACAAAACAGAGTTTCATTACATTTTACCTATACTTATTATGTTTACAGTTTGACAGTTACAGTTTTACATTCTCAGCTTTATATATTTTATACATTTACCGATCGCTTCTATGGCAGCTATAAGATATAGTTGTCCGATTTTTATGAAATTTATACCAAAATTCTAGAATAATAAAAAAAACGTATATCTCAGAGTAAATAAAAATGCGTTGAAAAACAACGAAGCTATAATTTTATTTCTATTAATTTCTCGATCGTTCCTATGGCAGCTATATCATATAGTCGTCCGATTTTCATAAAATTTTTACCAAAATTCTGGAATAATATAAAATGGCTATATCTCAAAAATGATGCAAAAATATTGAAAAACAGCCAAGTTATACTTTTTTTCTAAAAATTTATCAAACATTTGTATGGCAGCTATATGATATAGTCGTCCGATCCGGCCCGTTCCGACATATATAGCAGTGAGAGCATATAGAAGACTATATGCAAAGTTTCATTCAGATAGCTTTAAAACTGAGGGACTAGTTTGCGTAGAAACAGACAGACAGACAGACGGACAGACGGACAGACAGACAGACGGACAGACGGACAGACAGACAGACGGACAGACGGACATGGCTAGATCGACTCGGCTGTTGATGCTGATCAAGAATATATATACTTTATAGGGTCGGAAACGTCTCCTTCACTGCGTTGCAAACTTCTGACTGAAATTATAATACCCTGCAAGGGTATAAAAATTGCTTGAAATAAGACAAGTTCGGTTATTTTTTTAAATATTTAAACCATGCCACACTTGATGGTTAACTTCTTTAAGGGAAATATTCAAACATGAAGCACTCAAGCCTGGGAAAAATATTTGCCCTAACTTTCTCAGCACTTTCCTCTCGTTTGTGGGAGTAACCATTTACTTTTATAGTTTCCTAAGAAGAACTTCAAGAAATGGTAGAAAATAAAAATTAAAGTATAAACCTGCACCGAACACCAAGGTAAAATATATGGATATTTATTTTTCTTGTTCAAAGCCCAAGGCATCTTGCACTAAATTTAATGGGCAACTTTTTAAGAATCACAAAACACACCTTGGGCTATTAAAAAACTAACAAAAATATTTGAGCACTTTCAAAAAGCCAAAGATGTTAAATCAAAGTCGAAGCCTCCGCAATTTTTTGCAAATCATTGAAATCATAAAAAGAGCCATCATCAAATGGAATTATAGGAAATTTAAATGGCAAGAAAAAACAATTAAAAATGTTTCCCTTTGAACAGGCACACAAGCACACATGACAAAAATTCTTAAATACGAACTGTACATATTGGCAAATTTTTCCATTCATAAAATCTGTGACTTTTTAATCTATTTGCTCATTCATTTGTCTCTTTTGGCTGGTTCCATTGAATGCGCGGCTTCCTTCCGTGCAGCCATAAAAACCCAAAACAATTCCAGCAGAGATACAAGATACACAGATACATAACTTGATGTGTAAATACCAAAAGCATTTCATATGGAATTTTTTTTTAAAGAATTTTATCTCCAAATTGTTTAGACTTTGCACAGCAGAGAATTCTCCGGTCATTAAAGCACACAAATTATGAACAAATGCTATTGAGAGAATTGTAGCATTATTTTGTTTTGGTCTTCATTTATTCCTCACTGTTTATTATCGCGGCGCTGCGCTGTGCTCTACAGCAAAAGGCAAATAGAAATAATTAAGCCGCGCGAACTACAATAAATAAAAATAAAGAAAACCTATAAAAAAGAAATATACATATATCTCTGGGAATATTTATTTGCCGGGCGGCCCGGATTAAATGCCGGCATCGGGCATCGTTGAAACCTAATGTTAACAACATTTTAATTAACGAAACCAGCAGCGGCAAGCGACAAATAACAACGCCACAGCCCACAAATAATGCAAAAATTATTGCATATAATTGCCGGGGATATTGGATAAATGAGCACCGCCTCTTCAGTTTACTCTGTGTAAATATTTGCCTGGCATATATTTCGAGACACAAAGGGCAAAAGGGAGAAGTGGGTGGATGAATTTAATAAATAAGCGAATAAAATTGCAATTTCTGTAGACTTTTCCTACGCTGCCAATCGACGCAATTCCGTGGCTCAACGCAAAAGGGCACGGTGAAGGAAAACTAATGAAATGCCGGGCGAAACTTTCCCAAAGAAAAACAAATGAAAAGGGTCGAACTGTTGGAAATTGTTGTATAATTTAAAAATTTCATCTAGCCAGTTTGCAGGAAATAACCGTACCCGCAGGCTGCTTCAGCTTTTCGACACGTTCTTATCAGTCCGGAAAAAGGACTTTCTCCTTTTCCTTGGCCTCGGGAAAATGGCTCAAGTTTTTCATGACAGTTCATAATTTGCCACAGCTGCTGCTCCAAACAGAAACTGAGACCAAGTGTGGTAATTGCAGAGGGACAAACTTCCAATTGAGCTCAAATAGCGTGCGAAGGTGGCGGAAAACCGCGATGGAGTAAGTCCAAGTCCAAGCACCAAGTTTCCCAAAGATTTTCCCTTAGCATTGAGAAACTCTTGGCCACTGATTTTCTATCGGCTGCTTAAGGCGGAAATGGAAATTTAAGCGTCCACAATAAACCCATTTTCTGGCCTATCAAAAACACTGGCAGGTTGCAAATTGAATTGCCAAAAATTTGACATTTTCAGTAACTAATAGACAGCGCTTGCCCAAGAGAGAGAAAGAGAGAGGCATTGTTTTAAACGTATTTTTTGGCTCAGAAAGAGGGTCAAAGGTCGCCTCTTAAATTTATTATAATCCCATGCGTCAGCTTCTGTTTCACAACTGCAGTGCAAAAAGGGGTTTTCAATCAATTTGTGTAACAGAATTATTCAACAACCTTTTGTAGTCTGCCTGAAATAAATGGAAAATGCCTTAAATCTTTCTTTATTAACAGCTTTTCCAAGCAAAGAACCAAAGGCAGGATTTGTGTAATAATTTAACTTAAACTTATTGAGTTAAGATAAAAGCAGTAGGAAGGCCAAAGGCTATATATTGAATTTCTAGAAATATTCAAGGCTACAGCTTTAAAAAGTAGTTTTTTGTTTGATTTTTGTTTAAATTTTTTAACTACTTAACAAGATTTAAATGTTCATAGATCATGAAACCCTACATTTTAAAATTCCCTCACTTAAAATTAAAATTCAACTCACATAACTTACGTTCAGCTGCACCAACAAAATGGACACTTTTGTATCGCCATATCGCACAACCGATGCTAATCAACAATTAGATGCTTTTTTTCTGCTCCAAATTATATATAGTAAAACAAAAAACTCGCTTTCGTCGGTTTTTTTTGTTTAGATCGTGGTCTTTCAGCTAATTTTATACCGCGTTGTCTTTTGAGCTGGCTTAAAGCCTAAAGCGAGTTCATTATATGGCATGCTTAACTAATTAGCACCTGGACCGGCGCCACGTGCTTCAGATATTATGGTGCACCCAGGGGGAGAACAGGTCCAAAGATCAGAAAACCCAAAACACGACACTGAATATCTTCAAAAAGGGAGAGCTGGGCAATGGAAAACAGGGAAAGCCAATTTGGGTGACTGATTACAGCCCGGCTAACCATAAATTGTAGCTGCACTCCCCTGGCTAATGATAAACCTTAGCACGTGCCGTCGGAAGGAAGCCAGACTATAAATGATTCAAAATCATTATCATATCGCGCCCCGATTTGTTTTGTTTGTGTTTCCCATTAACAGAAAACAAGAGGAATAGACAGAGCGAGGGGCCAGAGGCGATAAATGCGGCGTAAACGCAAAAGGGGGCCTCAGTTTAAGCCATGTAATTTATTACAGATAAATCAAAACAAATCGCTTGTTAACATTAGCCATTCGCAGTCGAGCGGAATTTATGCATAAATGCATTTAATTATATGCGTAAAAAAAGTACCCCTTAACGAGAAATCGATTTTGAGGGGTCTGATTTAAGGCGAGTTCGAAATGGATAAACCTCAATTTGGCCATTTTCATTCACTCGAATTCGATGGAGAAGTGGAGGCCATAAAAAACACACTTCACAAGTCAAATAATCATAGAGCAAAGCCAATGCCAGACAGGTGAATCGATCAATTTCTTTTGTACATACATAAAAAAGCGCCTGTTCAAAAGGAGAAAATGCGTTATATACCGATTTATATTGGGTTTCATTTCGATGATACTTGGCGTTGGCAAATGAAAATGTTCTCGGGGCAAGTTATTTAAACTCAATTCAGTTCGAATCGAAGGTCCACTGAGGAGACGACACAAAATACGCCAAGCTAATAATTAAATTAATTAAAACAATTAACAGAGTTGTGGCGAAGCTTCAAGCTAAGTTTTCTAGTCTCGATGATAATGCGAATTTAGTTAAATTAGTTTGTATTTAATTCAATTCGCACTCGAACACTAATGGACGCCATGATGCCAGCGACTCGAAATCTGTTCGAATAACAATCTTAAGTATGTGTGGAGAGCGATACGATGGCAATGTAAGATCTCCTGCTAAATTACACACTTTTCAGCGAATTTATTTCGTTAATTGGCGGGCCGGGCCAGCTGCTAAGCAAACAAATTGATTGAAGGCAAAGTTTGAGCCAGAAGTTGTCTGGGATATTCACTCGATTTGGGGTAAGTGAAAGGCAATTAAATTGATTACAAATGAAATGGAAAACTGTACTGGAAAATGGTAATAAAATTGAAAGGAAATTTGCATTTCTCTCAATTTAAATTCTCTTTATAACAACATTTATTTTCATACAATATTAAAGCCAGGCTTGGAGTTTTCTTTCCTTTGAACTTTTGTTTGGAAATCTTGTTAGGCGGCTTCACCTTTAACCTCTGACATCGATAGGTCTTTGGTATCTTGTCTCAATCTCATGTCGTCTGGGACTGAGGCTGACAAACCTCATTTGCTTCGGGCCCGTCTGTCTATCTGTGCCACAATCGGTGCTCGTTTAGGGCCCCAAAAGGTGGGTCAATGATGGACATTGTCTTGCATGTGTCTGCCATGATGAGTTTTTGTTCTTAAATTAAATTTGTCCGGCTTTGGGAGCATGTTTTGGCTTTGCTGAAAATGAGCAACACATTTGCAGCATTTGTTTTGTGCACAAATCTTGATGGATTTATAGTCACTTGGTAGATAAAGGTATTACCTCAATTGATTAGGACTATCTTTAGATTAAAAAAGACAATATTTTCTTATCTAATCAAAATCCAATCTAGTGTAACATTTAAAAGCCTATTTATTTGTAAGGGAAAGGGGGCTTTATCAGGCTTGTCTTTTATTTTTTAAATATATTTGTGTGTAGTTTTTTAAAGAAATCAAGCAATTAGGGTGTTTCCTAGCCCTGATATTGCGATAAATCTTATAAAGATAAGAAGGAAAATGATTAGTCATAGGAATAAAATAAGGGGAATTTCCAAAAGTAAGTTCTAATTTCGAAAAACTATTTGAAATACCTCAAAACTCTATGTTCCCAAACCAACTAATTTCTTCCTTCATAAACAAGTTACTTACTTCCATTATTATCTCGTTTAACCACCCATTAACTTTCCTCAGTTGTAATTGTTTTGTTTGCCCGTCGAAAACAAATTAAACGTTTAATGCCAAGTAGTTGTTGGCCCAACAACTAACAATAAGCCAAAAGGTGTCTCTGTCTGGCAGAGATAAAGTTGGAAGGGAAATCCACTTAATTCATTATTAAATGGTAATTACCGATTCAACAGTTTATATACAAGTACCGCCTAAACTTTCACTTATCTGTATCAATTTAGCTGAGGGGGAGGCCATATAATATTTGTTGGATTTTTATTATTATTTCGAGGTGGGTAATCAGTAAACAAATATGCGAGTAAACGACGAAGGCAAGAAAAAAGCAAGTGAAACAGTCGAGACACGCCCAGCAGACTCCCAGGCGAATTGGACTTTTTTGATTTTATTGATTTATATTAACAACCCCGAAGAAAAACAGTCAAATTGATTAAGATTTCTTTGGGGCTGCACCTGAGTTTTTGGCCGTGTCACCCACAAGACCGCCGCCCACTCTGACGTATGCGTATTCCTCGAGATAAAAAAATATACAATATAAAAAATGTGTAAAAAAACACCCAATTGGGTGTGTGCGTGCGCCTGCCTCCCTTTGTATCTGTGTGTGTGTGTCTTTGTGTGTCTGTATGGGAATCAATAGAAGCCGGCACAAAAATTAACAGGCTGCGAGCTCCTACAGCCATCAGTTGGCTCCGTGAGCTTTTATCGTGCGGTTGTGGCTCGCGATCGAAACTGTATCAAAAAAAATTAGACAAATATTTCGGGCTCAGCATACATGTTTTTCTTAAAAAAAATACAAAGCCACAGAGAGGTTTATGAAACATCCAAACCGTTATAAAATTCAATGCCAAGTGTGTGTTTATCTAAAAGTGTATATAAACACAGATAGAATTGTTGTTTGCTCACGGCTGCTGATTATGGCCGCGGAGTCAATAGCGAAATAACCATAGAGCTAATTGCATTGGACAGTGGCGGTCTCGGCAAATGAGAATTAATTAATTTATTACAGAAAAACAGGCATAAAAAGAACGCATTTAAATCCATCCGACATCGGAAAAGTAATTAATTTCAGCGGGGTAAGTTTTCAGAGAAAATCATTTCTCTATATGATCAAATGGATGGATGATTTCCGTTGTTCAAAAAATGGTTAAAAATTCATTATCATTGCAATTAAGAGCATTAAATGCACACTCGGCCGGCATATTAAATAGCATATATGTAAATAACTCATTCGATCTGAGCTCTCGCCTCAGTAAACAAATAAAAAATCTATTAAAACCACATACACTCCAGCTATTTGTTTGGCAATTGAGCAATTTAAACGTTCTCCCGGTCGACTAGTACATAAATTCATCAATGAATTTTTAGCATTCAATAGATTGGCATCACGAGCAGCAATAAATACAATTCGTTGAATACAAAATATATTTTGTTTACTGGCGTTAGTCAAACACTTTGCTTTGTGCAATGCATCAGAAAACCTCAATTCAAACGATGCAAGAAATTTCGGTTGCGGTTGGAAAAAGTAAAAGAAATTATCTCGAATAAATATTTAAGCTTTACACAGACCACAGGGGGAGATATTTACAAACAAAAGGGAGGAGAAAAATCTTAATTGAATATACAATTTCTTTGCTATTTAAAGTCCATGCCAGAAGCTGACAAAATGTTTCCCTCTGGGAGTTCAGACACAATCCTTTTTCTGCCCGTAATGGTCGAGCTCATCATTGAGCAACTCAGATGTCGGATAACAAGAATGTTGAGTCAGCTTCAAAAGCTGTCTGATTGTGAGTTCCTGGTAGCCGTGTTACCCAAGAGTCCGGCTGCCAGGAAAGCTCTTCCGTTTTAATCTTTTATCTTAAATTTTCCGACATATATTTTCAACCCGTTTTTTCAGTCTTCAACGAAAGTAACCTTTGTTGCTGTGAAGTACCAGGGAATTTCAATTAGAGGTGTGGGTGTTGTTACAGGTGCGACACGAATAGCCTTGACTGGGAAATTAGCTGGCGACAAAGGCAAATAATAAACAGAATGCCAGGATCTCTCTCTACCTGCTTCCTGAAAAGAACAAAATTAAGACGAAAGAGGAATAATAATTACAAAGTATGAATGTGGGCAGACAGCCTTCTGCATTTTATATATTTTTTTTTATTTGTCTGTCAAGGGTTAAGCTCTACTGTAAATTTTAAGAAGACAAACAAACCTGAAATATCCAAAAATGGAGGTGAGAGAACACAATGAACAAATGGCCTTTTCCTGTTCTGTTTGTGTTCGTCGTTTGTTCCCTGTTTAGCTTAACAAAATGAAGAAATATCGCCAACTTTCTAAAGCTCCTTTTCCAGCAAAAAAACTCTCTCTCGCCCATTGTTTGGCCTTTTAACCCCCTTTGGAATTTATCTTTTAATTGCTAAACCACTAATTACTAACGATAATGACGATGATGGCCCTGTTTTGCGGCCAAAGTGTTTGATTAAATGTATTTATCTCAGGTTGGCTTCTGTTTTTTCCCCATCCCATACCCTGCAGCCTGTCTGGATATCGCATAACCAAATTAATTACAGTATCCTTCGAGCTTTAAAGGTCGGTCTGAGAAATAATTTTACCCTTTTCCCCATAATTTACAGAGTTTATTAATTTCATATTTTAATTATGGCAGAAAGTCATGAAATTGCCAGGGGGCGTTGCTTTAATTTAACGCATTATTTAATGGATTCTTTCATAGTCTACTTAAGAGCGTGTCCAAGCGGGGTTTCCTCTTAAAAAAGCGACTTAACAGCTCTCACTTTTTCCCACGAGCTTTGTACTCCTTGACGTAACAGCAAAAAATCATTAAAAAAAGTAGATTTCTACGATTCCAGTTCCTTTGATGGGTTTTTCTTGGTATTTCATTCGTTCCTTTACTTATTCTCCACGACATTGTTCAGATATTACCGATATTGTTATTTCTTCCCCTCCAGCCAAAAGGACGTTGTCATTTAAAAAAATCCTCGCAGACCCGTTCATCAGTTGATAATGCTCTTGCAATGCTCCGGCAGGTTGGCTGCGTTTAATTGGACTCCTGGGAGGGGGATTGCTCATCTCGGTTGGCTTTGTTGTTTCACCTTTCCTTTCTTTTCAGTGTCTTGCCTTTCTGGGGAACCATTGTTTGGCAGAAAAGGTCAAGGAACAGTTGGAATTTGTAATGGCAAATTGTATTAGCGACGAATGCCTGCTCAAAAATTAGCCCAACTTGTGCAGAGGGAATTCAATTGAATCGACTGCGAGTCAAGATTGTTGCAAGGTTCACTGAACGAGTGGCAGATGCTTTGGGTAATTAAAGAGTTGCCTCTGTTTCAAGATATGTGAAGGGGGGCTTAGTTGAGGGTTTAAGGAACTTTCAAGGGCGTCGGGTTTAAACAAAAGTACAGGGAACTCTCAAGGGGCTGCAGCAGCTTTGAGGATCTCAACCACTTAAACTTTTCTAAATAAATTAGTGTAATTTAAGGGCAAATATTTTGCAGCGTCCAAGTTGAAGTTGAAAAGTTTTAATCAGTTAAACGTTGTGGCAATATTGATCTCGGCTTGAAAGTACTTACTGACTTGCCACAAAACTGTTTAGAGAAACAAAAACATTTTTAAAGGGTGTCTGAAGTATGCAAGGTAGGAACTATATTTAACAGCACTTTCTTGTTTAATAATGTGTATAGAAACATTTTAAATATTTGTCTTGTTTATTGTAATTGGAATACCTGAATTAATTTGCAAACATCGGTTTTTTGTATTCTTAGGTATACCGCGGAACCTGTAGGTGATGGAATATAATTTTGTATGGGACTTTTACTCAGGAGCACCCAAATATCATGGAAAACTTGAAATGGTTCGTGGAAATTTCACAAAGTTTAATTTTGTGTTCCTGTGTAATCAAATTTCTGTTTCATTACTAAAGAATAAATCCTATATTTTCGCCATGAGTAAACCTGAAAGATTGCCCCTTTTTTGTGAATTTGATTTTTCACATTTTTCGCTCAAGTGTTTTGTATCTATCAACAGGCTTCTGTTTACCGTTTGTCAAAGTCCTGTATGCTCCTGCCAACACGCACTCAGCCACGTAAATATTTCTACTTGTTTTCTCTCGCTTGTTGACTTTTATTGGAAAAATGCCATTTTTCGCTTTCTGTTTTTCGTTTTATTTAAGCGCTTTCAGAGAGCGGGAAGGGTTCGAGTCCTTCTCATCCTTCGTGTCCTGCCTTCTCGTTCCCTGCCAACGCGCTGAGGTCGAGGCTAATGCAAATTTACCATCCTCCACCAGCGCAGAGTCTCCTTCACTTAAAAATGTCTACAGATTGTAATATAGCAATTAAGTGCAAATCTTTGACATTTTTGTGCCGGGGATAAAATGTTTTCATTGTCAGCAGAAGTTGATTCCTCCTCGTGTTCTTTCTGCATAAGTATTTCTATTTTTTTTTTTAGTGGCTTGGAAATCACTGTGGGCGGGGGAGATTGTTCTCAATTTAAAGCAAACTTTTACTTAAATCCTTCTTGTGACGTCTTTTCTTGATAAGCAACAGACACGTGCACTTTGCAATCTGAATACATTATGAAAGCACAAACACAAGCCGAGGTAGGCCAATCGAAAACAGAATTATAAATACATGCTTCAAGTTAGAGTGAAATATTAATAATGATAAATATGTCAGTTGCCAGGGCATTGATGGACAGCATAATGGAATCAATTTAAATGGGCCCAAGAAGGTCAGAGTTTATTGAATTTGAGAGGCAGGAAAATAAAACCACTGAGGTGAGTAATAATTATATAAAGACTAAATTAAATAAAAGCTCTTAAAATAAACTCGTTATTTACAATATCTTAATCATTTTCTAATTAGTAAAGTGATTCAATTGCATTGGTATCTAAACACTTAATTACCACTTGGCTTATCCAATATTTATGGCTGCCCAAATTAGGCCAACCAGCTGACCCAAGATTTATGTTAGATATCCCCAACAATTGTCATTAAGGACATGATTTGCTGGATAGTAAGGCGTCCATCAGGTCTAGACGCCACGAGCTGAGTTCTATTAATATTTATAGCATTTGGACGGCAATTAGTTGCATTGAATATTTATATTGTGGCGGTTTATTCGGCCAACGCAAGAAACTGACAATGGACGGTGAAATTTGTTTTCTGCCTGTCTGGATTGTGGCTGGGATTGTGCCCGGAGACGAAACCTTCTCTTTGCCACTGTGAGATGTCCGATTAGATATGGGACGTCCTCTCTGGCTTTCATGCAAAGAAAGAAAACGTGCAAATGGGGTTTCGTCGCCTTTTTGTGCCATTTATGTGCATTTAAATGTGCTGATTAACTTGATTTAGGTTCATCGTAAAGCCAGTGCAGTCCCTTCCACGGGTGACTGCTCCAGAAGAGTGCCATGAACTGTGAGCTGGCGAAATTAGATGCACTTCAATTGCTTTGCCGATTGCCAAGTGATGCAGGTAATGTGTGCCCGATATGCAAATCGTCTGAGTCAACATCTTCGACTTACAGCTATGACATTCCATTTAACCCTTCAAGGATGTAAGTCTTCAATTAATTAAGATGTAATGGAATTCAAAGCTTATCTTGCATGTTGAATATTTCCCAAAGATATGAAATTTCAATTGAATATTCTCCTGGGCATGTGATTGGCATATTTGTGTATTTTCAAATTATCCTTACGCATTCTTGGAATCCGTTTCAATTGAAATGTGCCCCATGCCACTCGTCCAGAGTGGGCAGTCTGTGGAGTGCGCGTGGCAGTCTCGTGCTGAGTGGGTGTGAAGTGAAATCAATTTGTGTGTATAGGCTCAAATATGTTTCAATCTCATAAGGACACTTCAACGGAAACAGTTATGGCCATTTTGCACCTGTCAAATGGAAATTTCATCTGCTTCAAATCAATCAACAAAAAAAGGATGAATTTTAATGCCTCAGGCCAGACATAGACATTGCAATCAAATTTGAATGTATTTTATGATTGAATTCAGATTAGCAGAGTTAGTAGAATGCTCTTTATTTTACTTATATTTTCTATAATTTTAACATGTCTGAATAGAAT